AGATGATGTCACCAAGATGCGGCGGACAACTCTGGGCTCTGAGGGGTTAAGTGAAGCACTGGGTGGTCTCCAGGGAGTCATTCTTTCTGCTCTATAAATGATCCAAAGATGCACTGGAAATGCAATCAGACTCTAAAGGGGGTGGGGCCGTGGAGCATCTGCCAGGCCTGGGGTTTTAGATGGGGGGGGGGGAGGGCAGGACAGGGACTTACAAAGCCACCTCCCAGGTAGATGGCACCTGCCAGAGGAGTCACAGAGCAGGTGGCAAGAAGAGGCAGGAAGTCACCCCCCACCCCCCAGATCTGTTTTCCCACGATCCTCAAGGCCTGTTAGAGCTGCCACAGGATAGGTAAAGGTGGTCTGTGGTCAGCCTGGAATTGAACATAGATACCTATCACTAGGTCAGCTCACTAGTCTTAGCCCCTCTGTCTCTGGCATTCTCAGAGCTGTCTTTGGGTTTGGGATGATTTAACTGGGAACAAGGTACACCCAGACTGGCTGGGAAGGTTGGCTCAGTGGTAGAGCGCTTGCCTTGCATGCATGAGGCCCTGGGTTCGATTCCTCAGCACCACAGAAGCAGAAAAGGCCGGAAGTGGTGCTGTGGCTCAAGGGGTAGAGTGCTAGCCTTGAGCTGCAGAGCTGAGGGACAGCGCCCAGGCCCTGAGTTCAAACCCCATGATGGAAAAAATAAAAAGTCAGCATAATCATCTCCTCATATTTTTCTCCTCCTGGGGCCTTTTGGCCATGGTGCTTTTCTCTCAGCAGGATAATCCTTTTTTGGTTTGTGTCTCTACGAGGGCTTGAATTCAACGCCTGAGTTTTTTTTTTTTTTTCCTCAAAGCACCCTCTACCACTTGAATCCCTGCTGCATTTCTGCCTGGTTCATTGGAGGCCGGGAGAGGGTCTTATGAACTTTCCTACCCAGGCTGGCTTTGAACTGGAATCCTCAGATCTCAGCCTCCTGAGTAGCTAGGAGGACAGATATCCAGCATTTTTGTTTGTTTGTGTCGGTTGTGGGGCTTGAACTCTGGGCCTGGGCGCTGTCCCTCAGCTCTTCAGCTCATGGCAGGCGCTCTACCACATGAGCCACAGCGCCACTTCCGGTTTTCTGGTGGTTTATTGGAGATAAAGAGTCTCCCGGACTTTCCTGCCCAAGTTGGCTTTGAACTACGATCCTCAGATCTCAGCCTCCTGAGTAGCTAGGATGACAAGCGTGAGCCACCAGCACACACTGGCGCCCAGCTTTATCTCATACCTTTGAGCTTGGCACAGAGTCATAACCAGCCTTATGACATCATAGCCCTCTCCTTTGTCACCACCAGCGCTATCCTCGAAAGAGGACAAGGAGCAGGACCGAGAGGCCAATGATCCCTGAGCCACAACCCTCCCATTATGGGCAATGTATTTCAAGTAAGATTATTTACTCCCTCAGGGGTGGCAAGCTGTCAGTGTGTCAATGGAAGGTCAATGGACTCAGGCAGGGTGGGGGAAACTTTACCCAGATGTCAGTCCTCATTTCTTTTTTTATTTTTTGTCAGTCCTGGGGCCTGAACTCTGGGCCTGGGCGCTGTCCCTCAGCTCTTCAGCTCAAGGCGAGCGCTCTACCACTTGAGCCACAGCGCCACTTCTGGTTTTCGGGTGGTTCATGGAAGATAAAAGTCCCACAGACTTTTCCTGCCCAGGGCTGGCTTTGAACTGTGATCCTCAGCCCTCAGCCTCCTGAGTAGCTTGGAGAACAGGTGTGAGCCACCAGCGCCCAGCTTTGTTGTTGTTTGTTGGGGGTTTTTTAAAACTTACTTGGTATTTGGGATGGAACCCAGGATGTTGAATTTGCTAGGCAAGCACTTTGCCACTGAGTGACATCGCAGTTCAGTCCTCATTTCTGACGTGTCTGACTTCGCCCAATTGTTCTTACAGAAGCCTAGCCCAAAAAAAGAGCCGGAAAGAATAGAGATGGTAAAGGTAGGTAAGAAAACAGAGACCCGGGGCTGGGAAGGTGGCTCAGTGGTAGAGCGCTTGCCTTGCATGCTCGAGGCCCTGGGTTCAATTCCTCAGCACCACATAAGCAAAAAGAAAAAAGCCGGAAGTGGCGCTGTGGCTCAAGTGGTAGAGCGCTAGCCTTGAGCTGAAGAGCTGAGGGACAGCACCCAGGCCCAGAGTTCAGGCCCCACGACCGACCCCCCCCCAAAAAAAAGAGAACAGAGACCCTATCTTTATCTTCACAGAGTCCTTGGCAACTGAGCAATCATCTTTAGCCTCATTTAGCTTACATGCCTGTCATCCTAGCTACTCAGGAGGCTGAGATCTGAGGATCACAGTTCAAAGCCAGCCCAGTCAGGAAACTCCATGTGATTCTGATCTCCCCTGAACCACTAGAAAACGGAAAATGGTTCCAAGTGGGAGAACTCTAGCTTTGAGCCGGAAAAAGCTCAGGGACAGCGTCCAAGGCCTGAGTGCAAGCCCCATGGACTTTATTGTCCTATTGGCCTCAAACTGTGATCCTCAGATCTCAGCCTCCTAAGACCTGAGCTGGGATTACAGGCGTGAACTCCTGGTGCGTGCTTCACCTTGCCTGGATGATGACCCATTCTCTGGCTGCCCTCTGCTTTTCTCGCTCAGTTGCCACCTGTAACAATAATCCCCCAGAAGATCGTGGCAGCTAGGAAGATTCAGGCCTGGTGGAGGGGCGTGTTGGTGCGTCGGGTGCTGCTAGTCGCAGCCCTCAGAGCTTGGATGATCCAATCCTGGTGGAGGGCAGCCAAGCACAGGCAGATAAGCAAGTGCCGGCAGAATCTGCTGAGAGAGTACGCCATCCGGGAAGCCGCAGCCGTGAAACTGCAGGCCTGTGTCCGAATGTGGCTATGTCGACAGTATTTCAGCCACCTGTGCAGCACGATGTACGTGTTCCAGTCCACCAACGAAAGGCTCATCTGCCAGAAGGATGACTCTTGGCCCGTCCAATACAACGCGGTGGCCAGACCACCGGAGTTCCACATCGAGATCCTGTGCGTCTAGAATACACAGGGCCTGCCATGATCATTGGCCCCAGTAACTCAATAAAAAAAAAAAATGTCTGGCCTGGATGGATTGTGTGCACACGTGAGCCTCCATGATTGTCCCAGAGATGTCAGCCTTCTGGGCTGGGAAGGTTGGCTTAGTAGTAGAGCGCTGGCCTCGCATGCCTGAGGCCCTAGGTTCGATTCCTCAGCACCACATAAGCAGAAAAAAAAAAAAAAGCCAGAAGTGGCGCTGTGGCTCAAGTGGTTGACTGCCAGCCTTGAGCCAAAGCAGCTCAGGGACAGTGCGCAGACCCTGAGTTCAAGCCCCAGGACTGGCAATAAATAAATAGCCATGCGCCAGTGGCTCATGCCTGTCATCCTAGCTACTCAGGAGGCTGAGATCTGAGGATTATGGTTCAAAGCCAGCCTGGGCAGGAAAGGCCATGAGACTCTTATCTCCAATAAACCTCCAGAAAACCAGATGTGGCGCTGTGGCTCAAGCGGTAGAGCGCTCACCTTGAGCTGAAGAGCTGAGGGACAGCGCCCAGGCCCAGAGTTCAAGCGCCATGACTGAAAAAAAAAAAAGGAAGAAAGAAATGTCAGTCTTGTCCCTCCTATTTTATTGTGATCAGGGGTATCTTTTAAGTCCACCCTGGAAAATGGCCCCTTCTCTCTGGGCAAAGATGCAGTAGATCCTTCCCCCCTAGAAGTCTGCCCAACACCTGTGTTACCCAGGTGACTGGCACACCGGGAGCAGTTACCCGCCCTTTCCTCTGAGGTCACATCCTGGACTGCCCTGGCCACGCCCCCTTTGGCCTGTGGGAGGTTCCAAAGCTCTGAGGTCACTTTCCAATCTGCGGTGGCCACACCTCCTTCCTGCCCTCTCCCTATATATACCCCACCACCACCACTGCGCACAGTGCTTCCCGAGCTGGCTTGGCCTACCTTGTGTTCATAGGCATTCTTCATTATAGGCACAGTCCAGCCTGCCATTATGCAGACCCAACACCAGCTCTCCATTGTGTGTGTGTGTGTGTGTGTTTCAGGGCTCTGGGCTGTCCCTGAGCTCTTTGTACTCAAGGTTAGTGCTCTACCCCGTTGAGCCATAGCATCATTTCTAGTTTTTGAGTAGTTCATTGGAGATTAGAGTCTCACAGACTTTCCTGCCTGGGCTGGCTTTGAATCGTGATCCTCAGATCTCAGCCTCCTGAGTAGCTAGGATGACAGGTGTGAGCCACCAGTGCGTGGCTTCAGTGTCTGATTTTGTATGTGTGTAGCCTTCTGTCTTCTAGGAGGAAGATGAGAAAACATTAATGATGCACCTGCAGCTGCCTTGGCAAAGCCAGATTTTGCTGGATGCGACCTTACTACCCCTGTAATTACTTCATCCTGTTGGGTTTACGCCAGTGGCTCACGCCTGTCATCCTAGCTAGTCAGGAGGCTGAGATCTGAGAATCTTGGTTTAAAGCCAGACTGGGCAGGAAAATCTATAAGATTCTTATCTCCAATTAATGAGAAAAAATAATACAGAAGGGCTGGGAAGGTGGCTCAGTGGTAGAGCGCTTGCCTTGCATGCCTGAGGCCCTGGGTTCAATTCCTCAGCACCACATAAGCAAAAAGAAAAAAGCCGGAAGTGGTGCTGTGGCTCAAGTGGTAGAGCGCTAGCCTTGAGCTGAAGAGCTGAGGGACAGTGCCCAGGCCCAGAGTTCAGGCCCTACGACCGGGCCTCCCAAAAAAATAATAATAATACAGAAGTGGAGCTGTGGCTCAAGTGGTAGAGAGCTAGCCTTAAGCAAATAGCTCAAGGGATAGAACTCAGGCCCTGAGTTCAAGACCCAGGACCAGTACACACACACACACACACACACACACAAACCCCATCCTAACCCTTATGTCATAATGAGATTATGAATTCATAGTTTTCCCTTCACTTATACTTGCCTCATGCCAGGCCCTGGGAAGCAAAGAAAGCCGGAGTAATGAACCATCTAGAAATAAGCCATGAGGCTTCGATTTTGCGTAAGAGATATAGCTGGGTGTACCCGGTGGGCATGGGGGGGGGATGTGCTGGGTGGCACCCCAAATATCACCACAGCTCTGGGAGATGGGGGAGCTAGCAATACAAAAGCAGTCCGTGCCTTTGTACAGAATCCTACCGAGAACCGACGGTCAACTCATTTATACACTTCTTGTTACATCTAATGACAGACCAAGAACACTTTAATTTTAATTGTACTCGATGAAGAAGAAAAAATAGGCCCAGAAATTCAGCCCATACAAAAGAAGAAAGCAAAGGTGAGTGGAATTCCATATTGTTAAGAGCACTTGAGCCCTGTCATTCACGCAGGTTTGCCTGGGTCTCTTTCTAATCCCTGGTTCTCTGGATCTGTTTTGGTTTGTAGCATAAACAAAAATGATTGAGCCTGGTGCTGATGGCTCACGCCTGTCATCCTAGCTACTCAGGAGGCTGAGATCTGAGGATCCTGGTTCAAAGCCAGCCCGGACAAAGAAAGTCCATGAGACTCTAATCTCCAATGAACCACCAGAAAACCGGAAGTGGCGCTGTGGCTCAAGTGGTAGAGCGCTAGCCTTGAGCTAAAGAGCTGAGGGACAGCGCCCAGGCCCAGAGTTCAAGCCCCACAACTGACAAAAAAAAAAATGAATGAATAAAAAAGAGCCATCCTTGAGCACCAAGGCTGAGCGAGAGTACCTTGGCCCTGAATTCAAGCCCTAATACTAACACAAGAAAAAAGTATTATTTTGTATTATCTTTAGGAGGTTTCAACATGCCAATGTAATATCTGTGTATGTGGGGGAGGGGTGGAGATACTGTGACTTGAACTTAGGATCTAAGAGCTGTCCCCTATATATATATATATATTATTGGCCAGGGCCTGGGCACTGTCCCTGAGCTTCTTTTTGCTCAAGGCTGGCACTCTACCCCTTGAGCCACAGCACCACTTGCAGCTTGTTCTGTGTATGTGGTACTGAGGAATCGAACCCAGGACCTCATGCATGCAAGGCAAGCACTCTACCACTGAGCCACCTTCCCAGCCCTTCCATATCATCCCTTCTAGCATTCTCTCCCAACCCCATCCATTGCCCTCCACATCCCCCCCTCCCACGTTCTCCTGTGTACATGGAAGATTCTGCCTCTGTTCCAGAAAAATCTTAAGAAGGAAAGAAATGCAGCCATTCAGATCCAAGCCTGGTGGCGGGGCACCCTGGTCCGCCGGGCCCTGCTGCACGCCGCCCTCAGGGCTTGGGTCATTCAATGCTGGTGGAGGCTGATTCTCCTGAGGATGCTGGAGAAGAAGCGGCGGGAGAACCTCATTTCCTACGCCAGCCAGGAGAGGGCGATAGTGAAGCTCCAGTCTCTGGTCCGCATGTGGCGCGTGCACTGGAGATACTGCCAGGTGCTCAACGCCATCTATGTCATCCGAGGTCACTGGCAATGCCACAATTGCCAGATGTGTTCTTTCCTCCGTGCTCACTGCGTGATCACCTCCACCCACTTGCAGTTCCACATCGAGATCGTCAACAACTAAGGGCTGGCAAGGAGGCGGCCATTGGGCCTTCCATCCCCAGTAAAGGTCTAAGCTGGTCTTCTGGGTCTTGTTTGGTGTGTGTGTGTGTGTATGTGTGTGTGTGTGTAGTGCACACACCAGTCCTGGAGCTAAAACTCAGCTGAACAATGTCCCTCAACTTCTTTTCTTTTTTTCTAGGTCGTGGGGCTTGATCTCTGGGCCTGGGTGCTGTCCCTCAGCTCTTCAGCTCAAAGCGAGTGCTCTACCACTTGAGCCACAACGCCACTTCTGGCTTTTTCTGCTTGTGTCGTGCTGAGGAATTGAACCCAAGCAAGCACTCTACCACGGAGTCACCTTCCCAGCCCCTCCATGAGACTCTTATCTCCAGTAAACCACTAGAAAACTAGAAGTGGCACTGTGGCTCAAAGTGGTAGAGTGCTAGCTTTGAGTAAGAGCACCAGGACAGAGCCCAGGCCCCTGAGTTCAAGCCCCAGGACCAATCAAAAGTCTCACAGACATTTCTGCCCAGGCTGGCTTTGAACGGCGATCCTCAGATCTCAGCCTCCTCAGTAGCTAAGATGACAGGCGCGAGCCACCAGTGCCCTGCAAACCTAGTCTTCCGTATCATGTTGATCTCAGGCTGAGGGCTGTGCTAATCCTTCCTTCTCTTTTAGAGGGAATTTCGGGGAGATTTCCCACTGTTTCCAGGGGACCCCCAGATTGGACTGACAATGACCATATGTCACTCAGTTGTCAAAACAGAGACTGCAGCTGGACACTGGTGGCTCACGCCTGTCATCCTAGCTACTCAGGAGGCTGAGATCTGAGGATCGCCGTTCAAAGCCAACCCAGGGAAAGGAAAGTCAGTGAGACTCTGATCTCCAATGAACCACCAGAAAACCGGAAGTGGCGCTGTGTTCCAAAGTGGTAGAGAGAGAGAGAGAGAAAGAGACCGATAGGTAGCAGACCTGATTACTCCTTTATTGGAAGGGCTACGCATTGTTGTACTTTGCAAGCCTGGGCACCCAAAGAGATTTGCAATTGAATACTCAAGCGGTTTTCTTTGATCTCATAGTTGCCTTGAATAAAGCCCCGGCTGTGGCAGTTATGCCAGCGCCAGTACACCTGAATGATGCGGACCGCGTTCAGCAAGCGACAGTAGCGCTGACGGATGCGCCACATTCGAACCCAGGACTGCAGCTTCACCGCCGCCCATTCTTTCCACGTGTAGATCTCCAGCTCCATCCTCAGCCTTTGGGTTATCATTTTGGACAGGATTAACCTCCACCAGGACTGGATGATCCAAGCCCTGAGGGCCGCGTGCAACAGTGTACGCCGAACCAGGGTGCCCCGCCACCACGCCTGGAGGGCCACAGCTGCAGAGTCTTTGGTCATGTTGGTCCTCTCTGGTGGGGATTTGACTTGCAAGAGAGAAAAACAACATTGGAATAATGCTGAGGGTGCAGGAGACTCAGGGTGATGTCCGCTAGGATCCCTGATCAAGGAGCAGGAAACCCTTTCCTCGCTCAGCTTAGCTCTGAGCAAACCCCAAACTCCAGGAGGCCCACCATTGGTAGCTAACACCTTGTCATCCCAGAAAGCCAAGATCTCTGAGATATAAAAGTCTGGGTATAAAAGTCCGTGAGACTCTCCTCTCCAAATGACCACCAAAAAGTAGAAGTGGAGCTGTGGCTGAAGTGGTAGAGCACCAGTCTTGAGCAAAAAAAAAAAAATTGAAATTAAAACAAAGCCTAAGGGAGAGCACCCAGGATGAGTTCAAGCCCCAGTAGTGGCACAAAAAAACAGAGGCTGGTGCCGGTGGCTCACGCCTGTCATCCTAGATACTCAGGAGGCTGAGGTCTGAGGATCGTGGTTCAAAGCCAGCCTGGGCAGGGAAAGTTTGTGAGACTCTTATCTCCAATCAACCACTAGAAAACCAGAAGTGGCCCTGTGGCTCAAGTGGTAAAGCACTCGCCTTGAGACAGCACTCAGGCCCAGAGTTCAAGCCCCACGACCAACAACAAAACAAAACAAAAACAAAAACCAGCAGGCTTCCAGGAAACACACATGGGAACCCACTAAGATATGGTTTAGAACCTGGTTTAGAACCAGCCTTCATTACTTCATTATTTTTCTGAGCGTGTGTGTGTGTGTGTGTGTGTGTGTGTGTGCACACGTGCATAAAGGCTTAAACTGAGGACTTTACCCTCTTGCGTTTTCACTCAATGCTGGTGCTTTACCACTTGAGTCACAACCCCACTTTCAACGTTTTTTTTTGCTAGTTCATCGGAGATAAGACTCTCACAGTTTGGTCTGTTTTGGGGCTGGCTTTGAATAGCAAGTGTCAAATCTCAGCCTCTTGAATAGCTGAAATGCCACCAAGTACACGACCCTCATCTTCTTGGATGATAGAAGAGTTCTTCCCCGTCTTTCAGCACTTCAAGTTCATGAAAAGTATCATGGGTCATGCCTGTCATCCTAGCTACTCAGGAGGCTGAGATCTGAGGATCACGGTTCAAAGCCAGCCTGCGCAGGAAAGGCCGAGAGACTCTTATCTAACAATGAACCACCAGAAAAACTGGAAGTGGAGCTGTGGTTCAAGCCGCAGAGCACTCTCCTTGAGCTGAAGAGCTCAGGGACAACACCCAAGCCTGAGTTCAAACCCCACGACCAACAACAAAAAAGACTACTCAGCTTAGTACTAGCTGTGGGGCTGAGACACCTTTCTGGCCTTTTCTAGGTGGGGGAATCCCCTCTCCCAGTTACTAGGGGAAACTTATTCTTTCTCGAAGATGGTTTCTTTTGGGGAGGAGGGGCGGGGAGGTCAGTCACGGGGCTTGAACTCAGAGTCTGGGTGCTGTCCTTGAACTTTTTCTACCACTTTGAGCCACAGCTCCACTTCCACTTTTCTGGTGGTTCATTGGAGATCAGTGTCTCACGGACTTTCCTGCCTGGGCTGGCTTTGAACAAGGATCCTCAGATCTCAGCCTCCTGAGTAGCTAGGATGACAGGTGTGAGCCAATGGGGGCCTGGTTTCTTGGCCAGTTTTAAAAAGCATGGGACATTCTCGAGTTGATAGGTTAGTACGGAACTCCCCAATTACCCATAGTTACAGCCTAGATGTTCACATCACCCTTCGGTCTTCTGGTCTCCTCTCCCACAGAACCAGTGGGCAGGGGAAAATGGTGACATCATAAGAGCACTTATGATGTAGGAACTAGGCTGTCTTCCAAGTCAAGGCTGGGGCTCTATCCTTTGAGCCACGCCTCTAATTCTAGCTTTTGAGTGGTTGGACAATCGCATACAGATTCCTGTCCCAGGCTGGCTTTGAACCTGGATCCTCAGTTCTCAGCCTCCCTGAGCAGCTAGGTTGACAGGCGTGAGCCACCGGCGCCTGGCCTAACACAGCTTTTGAGGGTGCAGGAATTACAGGTATGCACTGCTACACCTGGCTCAGCCTTGTGTAATGTGATGTGTAAATGAACCTCTAATCTGTCTGACTTCTATGAGCTATCTATTGGAACTTCTAATGTACACAGACAATATCTCTCTTCTTCCTTGAGTACTTCTATTTAAATTGTAGCAGATATTTTTGCAGGCTGAACAAATAAGTATCCCCAATGCCCCAAACCAGGTCCCCCTCCAAAAAAAATCTTAAGCCAAATTTCTTTTTCTCTACCTGTTGCTTCCAGCAACTTTCTATATTGCTATCATCTGATATAGGATGTATATTTTATGGAAATGTTCCTATTTGGGGAGGGAAAATAATCTTGGTTATGACAATAAATTTCAGTGGAATCTGTTTGCATTTGTATACATTACTGCTTGGTTATTCTCTTGGATTTTTTTGAGTGAAGATTATATAAATGATACCATATTATAGCAACATGGAAAGCTATTCCTTTTCCATTTTTGTACGGTATTTTAAGAGTTTTATATTTTTACTTATTTGTGATGGTAGATCTTGAACTCAGTCCCATAGCTTTTTAGTGCTCTACCACTTGAGCCACACATCTATTTCCAGCTTTCTGGCCAGGCTGGTTTTGAACCTTGATTCTCAAATCTCAGCCTCTTAAGAAGCTAAGATTACAGATAGGAGTCACCAGTGCTGATGTGGTTTTGTTTGTTGTTTATTGTCATGGAGTTAACTTCCCAGAAAAACTCTCAAAGCTTAGAATTCATAAAAATATCTTCTCCTTGGCCCAGGTAACCTGGATGACATATTATTTTAAAATGTAGTCCGGGCACCCATTGCTCACGCCTGTCATCCTAGCTACTCAGGAGGCTGAGATCTGAGAATCACTATTCAAAGCCAGCCTGGACAGGAAAGTCCGTGAGACTCCTATCTCCAATGAACCACCAGAAAACCAGAAGTGGCGCTGTGGCTCAAGTGGTAGAGCGCTCGCCTTGAGCTGAAGAGCTGAGGGACAGCGCCCAGGCCCAGAGTTCAAGCCCCACGACTGACAAAAAAAAAAAAGTAACTATTGGGGCTCAGATTTTATTTTCAGAAGCTGGGGTGTTTCCCTGTTCTTGTTCACAGTGGTGAAAAGGTGGATGTCAACTTATTCCCTTGTATGTAATTTGTTGATTTCTTTTTCTCTTGAACTGCCTAAGTATTTGATCGGTTATGACATTGTGCTGTGATCACCCTATCTGGTTTTCTTCATCTTCCGAGGTCACGTGAGTCCCCTTAGGCTCTGGGAAATTCATTCATTCTTTAAACCCAGTGGCTGGTTACCTTCATCTTTGTCAAGGACACTTTTTTTGTCGGTCATGGGGCTTGAACTCAGGGCCTGGGCGCTGTCCCTCAGCTCTTCAGCTCAAGGCGAGCGCTCTACCACTTGAGCCACAGCACCACTTCCGGTTTTCTGGTGGTTCATTGGAGATCAGAGTCTCATGGAATTTCCTGCCCAGGCTGGCTTTGAACCTTGATCCTCAGATCTCAGCCTGCTGAGCAGCTAGGATGACAGGCGTGAGCCACTGGAGCCTGGCTTCATGTACACTTTGAATTTCCTATCTGCTAATCACTGCATCTATTTGTATTATTTTTTTCTGTGTGTGCCTCTCCTTGGGCTTGAACTCAGGGCCTGTGTATTGTCTCTGAGCTTCTTTTGCTCAAGGCTAGCACTTTACCATTTTGAGCCAGCAGCGTCTTTGTGGTGGATTAGTTAGAAACAAGTGTGGCTAATTAGAGCAAGGGTATCGTGGACTTTCCTGCTCAGGTTGGCTTCGAACCACAATCCTCAGAATCTCAGCCTCCTGAGTAGCTAGGATGACAGCAATGAGACCGATTGGGAGCTCCTTTTTGTGGACAAATTCTCCCTTAGTCTACTGGTGAGCGCCACAATCCTTACCCACAGATTTCCGAGTGGGGGGGGCAGGGGAAGGGGGAGGAGGAGGACAGGTCTCAGTGCGTCAGCAATATCTTAGTAGGAGTGTGACATGGAGCCAGGCCCTGTCACTCCTGCCTAAGACAGCTCTGAAAATCAAACAAGAAAATGTGGTGGTTCATCCCTCTAATCCTTGCTACTCAGGAGGCTGAGATCTGAGGATGGAAGTTCAAAGTCAGCCTGGGCAGAAAACTCTGAGAGGATTCTTTTCTCCAATTAACCAGCAGAAAAAAAAAATTAGAAGTGGGGGGCTGGGAAGGTGGCTCAGTGGTAGAGTGCTTGCCTCGCATGCATGAGGCCCTGGGTTCGATTCCTCAGCAACACATAAGCAGAAAAAGCCGAAAGTGGCGCTGTGGCTCAAGTGGTAGAGCACTAGCCTTGAGCTGAAGAGCTGAGGGACAGTGCCCAGGCCCAGAGTTCAAGCCTCATGACTGACAAAATATCAGAAGTGGAAGTGTGGTTCAAGTGGTAGAGCACCAGCCTTAAGGGGGGAGAAAAAAACCCAAAGGAAAATTCTAAATCCTGAGTCCAATCCTTTGTACTAGCACAAAAAGGAAGATAGAGGTTGATAGCTCATGCCTATAGTCTTGGCTACACAGGAAGCTGAGCTCTAAGGATCTTGGTTCAAAGCCAGCCTGGGCAGGAAAGGCCGTGAGACTCATCTCCAATGAACCACTAGAAAACCGGAAGTGGCGCTGTGACTCAAAGCGGTAGAGCGCTAGCTTTGAGCAGAAGAGCTGAGGGACAGCGCCCAGAGTTCAAGCCCCACAACCAACAGCAGCAGCAGCAAAGAAAAAAAGGGGCAGGGGAGAATGGGAAGAAGGAAGAAAGGAACAGGAGGAGAAGCAAAGGAGGAAGATTTAGCCCCAGCAGGGCAAGAAGACAGAATCCCAGCGTGGCCCAGTTGCTCAGAGCTAGGACTGCTCGGGATGTTAAGTCTTTCCTATGACCTACTTCTGCCTTGACACTTGTGAAACAAAAGTCTACAAAAAGCCCCCTTCACTGCTTTATGGGTAGGGGAATACACTCAGATAGCATGCAAGACCCCGAACCCAGCAAGATCTCCAACTTGAGCTGCAGATGATTGTCCGAGATCCGATAGTGACCTTTGATGACACCCCCAGATGCATAGACATGACTCCTCCAATAGGCCTGGATGATGCGTACAGCCTGGAGCAGCCGACGATAGCGCTGGCAGACACTCCACATGCGGACCCACGACTGTAGCTTGACCGCTGCCCACTCCTCCCGAGAGAAGGTCCTCAGGATCACCTGTCGCCTCTTCTCCGTGAGTTTCAACAGCACCATCCGCCACCAGCTCTGGATAATCCAGGCCCTGAGTGCTGCGTGTAGTAGCGTCCGGCAGACCAGGACCCCCCTCCACCAAGCCTGAATCTTTACCACTGGTGTATTTTCTTCCTGCTTCTCTGGGTACTTGCAAGAAGAAGAAAAGAGAGAGAGAGACAAGCCCAGCACTGGCGGCTCACACCTGTCATCCTAGTGACTCAGGAGGCTGAGATCTCAGGATAATGGTTCGAAGCCAGCCCCACAGGGATGGAAAGCCCAGGAGACTCTTCTCTCCAATGAAGCAGCAAGAAAAAGGTGGAAATGAAGCTGTGACTCAGGTGATAGAGCTCTAGGCTTGAGCATAAGAGCTCAGGGACAGTGCCGAGGCTCCTGAGTTCAAGCCCCCAGGACTGCCACCAAAAAGAAAAAGAAGAAAGAAACATAACTGGGGTATTTCTTTTTTTTTTTTTTGGTCAGTCGTGGGGCTTGAACTCTGGGTCTGGGCGCTGTCCCTCAGCTCTTCAGCTCAAGGGTAGCACTCTACTACTTGAGCCACAGCGCCACTTCCAGTTTTCTGGTGGTTCATTGGAGATCAGAATCTCACAGACTTTCCTGCCCGGGCTTGCTTTGAACCGTGATCCTCAGATCTCAGCCTCCTAAGTAGCTAGATTGACAGATGTGAGCCACCAGCCCCCAGCCTGTGTTTATTTATTTCTGTTGTTAGCTCAGGACCATGCAAAGAGCATCAGGCACAAACTCCATGGCCCCAAAGCCATGGCTCCTCCTACCTTCAACTGCTTCTCTGAGGCTTTGGGTATGGAGGGTAGACCAGTTGACTCTTCCTGCTGAGGTTTATTAACATCTTTTCTTTCAAGTTGATCTACCTCCTACAATCAATAGTTGTGGGGGGGGAGGGAGGAAGAGTGAGGACATTGTCCATCTCCATCACATCCCCAGCTCCCTCCCAGGGCTTCGCAAAGTCCTCTCTCTCTCTCCCCAAAGCTGCTATGTCTGTCTCTCTCTCACTCACCATTGGTCACCTGTGGAATGGGCATAGATGGTTCAAATCCCCTTGGGTTTCTGTTCCTTCAATCTTGGCATGGGACGGAGAGAGAGGAGAGCAAGGGGACCCATGATGTCATAAGAACAACTATGACACAGAACACCAAGACGGGGGCTCTGGGAAGGTGGCTCAGTGGTAGAGCGCTTGCCTTGCATGCCTGAGGCCCTGGGTTCGATTCCCCAGCACCACATAAGCAAAAAGAAAAAAAGCCGGAAGTGGTGCTGTGGCTCAAGGGGTAGAGTGCTAGCCTTGAGCTGAAGAGCTGAGGGACAGCGCCCAGGCCCAGAGTTCAGGCCCCACGACTGGACCAAAAAAAAAACCCAAAAAACATCAAAATGGCTCCCAAGAGTGGAGGCTGCTCCCCCCCAAGGGGGGAAAATAACAATTACCCATTCTCTTCTACCATAAATGGGCAAAGATTTGGTCTGAAAGCCAAGGTATCAGAAGTATCAGTCCATTGAGTTGAAGGTATATAAAGATAGCCAGGGTTGGGAATATGGCTCGGTGGTAGAGTGCTTTCCTAGCATGCATGAAGCCCGGGGTTCAATTCCTCAGTACCATATACACAGAAAAACCAGAAGTGGTGCTGTGGCTCAAGTGGTAGAATTCTAGTCTTGAGCAAAAGAAGTTCAAGGGCCAGGGGCCAGTGGCTCACACCTGTCATCCTAGCTACTCAGGAGGCTGAGATCTGAGGATTATGGTTCAAAGCCAGCCCAGGCAGGAAAGTCCTTGGGACTCTGATCTCCAATGAACCACCAGAAAGCCAGAAGTGGCGCTGTTGCTCAAGTGGTAGAGTGCTCACCTTGAGCTGAAGAGCTCAGGGATAGCACCCAGAGTCCAAGCCCCATGACCAACAAGGAAATAAATAAAAGAAGCTCAGGGACAGTGCCCAGGCCCTGAGTTCAAGCCCCAAAAGGAAAAAAAAGTTAGCCAGTCATTGGTAATAGCTTTTAATGGCAAAATTTAAATATCCATTAATAGGGAATTGATTTAGTGATGTTCAGTACCTTTGTAACTTAGATTTTACATAATTACATTAAGATATTACATAATATTACTATTAAAAATAATAACATATTACTGATTAAGTATATCCAAGTATTTTTTCCCCTCTAGCATTACTGGTGTTTGAACTCAAGGCCTCATGACTGATAGGCAGGTACTCTTCTGCAGGTTATTACTACTAGTAGCAGCGGTAATACTAGTAGTTGTAGTACTGGGGTGAGGACTCAAGGACTGGACATTGTCCCTTTTTTTTTTTGCCAGTCCTAGGGCTTGAACTCAGGGCTTGGGCGCTGTCCCTGAGCTTCTTTTGCTCAAGGCTAGTGCTCTACTACTTGGAGCCACAACACCATTTCCAGCTTTTTCTGGGATTAGTAAGAGTCTCACAGACTTTCCTGCCTGGGCTGGCTTTGAACCTCCATCCTCAGATCTCAGCTCCTGAGTAGCTAGGATTCCAGGTGTGAGCCCATAAGGACCAGTTTGTCCCTTAAGCTTTTTTGCTCACTGCTGGCACTCTTCCACTTGAGCCATACCTCCAGTCCTGAGTTTCCTCATTCTTGTCTCTAGAAGTTAAACTCTGCACCTAGCAAATACTAAAAGAACTGCTCACTGAATGAACGGATGGATTTGATTATGTAAAATTGAGCCAGATTGCTTCCCTAGAGATTTCTAAAGACCATTCCCCCATTCCTTGGGGGCAGGTCCTGTCTTTATTTACTTTTCCCAGTGCCCAATGTCCCCGTATGGGGTTGAGGGGGAGAGGTGAGCAGGAAGTGACTGGGCTGTGTAGAGATGGAGTTCAGCACTAAGAACTGGACAGCAACCAGATAGAGGGTTGGGGAAATTAAAGAGGGGAGGGGCCTGGAAATGCAACAGAACTGTGATTGGTGAATTAGACAGGAAGAGGCAGGACAAAGGAGCTGATGGAGAAGAGCTAGCAGCTGTCCCAAGTGTCACTCTCCTCTCTGCCATACATGATCAGCTCGGGGTCAGGTGGTGAGGAGGGTCCCGGGCCCTCTGTCAGCCTCTAGCTAAGCTCTGGTGGTTCAAAGCCAGCCTGGGCAGCCAAGTCCATTGAGATTCTTTTTTTGGGGGGAGGGGGTCCAGTTATGGGGCTTGAACTCCGGGCCTGGGCGCTGTCCCTGAGCCTCCTTTTGCTGAAGACTAATGCTCTAAATTATTTTGAGCCAAGTAAGCCAAGAACAAAGAGACAAACAGGGGGCTGGGAAGGTGGCTCAGTGGTAGAGCTTGCCTTACATGCATGAGGCCCTAGGTTCCATTCCTCAGCACCACATAAGCAGAAAAAGCCAGAAGTGGTGCTATGGCTCAAGTGGTAGAGCGCTCGCCTTAAGCTAAAGAGCTGAGGGACGGTGCCTAGGCCCAGAGTTCAAGCCCCACGACTGGCAAAAAAAAAAAAAGAAACAGCATAGGGTCTCCCTGATATGTGCATGCTAAAGCCAAAATGCACGAAGATATGACAAACAGGACTCAAGAAACAAAGGACAGCCATTCATTTTGTCATATCATTGCTAAATGACTCATGTTCTTAACCCATATATATATATATATATGTGGTAGACACTGGACATAGAAGGAAAAGAACTAAGCAACCCAAAGACAGCAATGGGAAGGGAGGAATGAGAGGAAAAGACGGAACAGCCTACACTAAGCAAAAGGAAAGAAATGGAAACATCACCTGATGGGGAAGAAATAGTATTGTCAAAGTTTATAGAAGTCACCAGCTGTGTAGACCATGATCATGACAATGTGCCTTGTGAAGGTTAAAATGTGTTTGTGACTTTAAGTATGACCATTCCATTGTGAAATATGTGAAATTTATGTAATCACCTAATCTCAATTAAAGAAAAGTGAGAAGGGATGGGTTAAGAGAGATGGGTAACAATGTTGTCAGACACCTTGTACTCATATACTGTTTTAAAGATTAGCGCTTTTGGGCTGGGAAGGTGGCTCAGTGGTAGAGCGCTTGCCTTGCATGCTCGAGGCCCTGGGTTCGATTCCTCAGCACCACATAAGAAAAAAGAAAAAAGCTGAAAGTGGCGCTGTGGCTCAAGTGGTAGAGCGCTAGCCTTGAGCTGAGGGACAGTGCCCAGGCTCAGAGTTCAGGCCCCACGACCGGAAGTAAAAAAAAAAAAAGGATTAGCGCTCTTACCACTTGAGCCACAGCACCACTTCAGCTTTTTCTGTGTGTGGGACTAAGGAATCAAACCCAGGGCTTCATGCATGCTATCCAAGCACTGTACCTCTAAGCCACATTCCCAGTTGTTTGGTTTTTTACATTCCTAGTCCAGTTCTTTGTTTTTTTTAAAGGGAAATCTTAGACTGGCTTAGTGGTAGAGTGCTTGCCTAGCATAGATGAAGCCTTGTGTTTGATTCCTCAGTACTATATAAACAGAAAAAGCCAAGCTGGGCGCCGGTGGCTCATGCCTGTCATCCTAGCTACTCAGGAGGCTGAGAACTGAGGATCTTGGTTCAAAGCCAGCCTGGGCAGCAAAGTCTGTGAGACTCTTATCGCCAATAAACCACAAGAAAACCGAAAGTAGTGTGCAGGGCTCAAGTGGTAGAGCTACTAGTCTTGAGCAAAAGCTCAGGAACAGTGCCCAGGCCCTGAGTTCAAGCCCCAGGACCAGCATGCATGCATGTGCGAACATGAACACGCACGCACACACACACATACACACACACCCTGTTCATTGTCCCGCAGAAACCAAAGAGCCTCAGCCCACCCCTGCACCCCTCCTCTCCCCCTCCTCTCCGGGGCTTTACCCTACATCAGAAGTGACTGACTGACTGGTGGCCAGAAGGAAAGCATTTCTCTGACACATTTTCTAAGCAGGGTCCTTGGCTTTGACATAGGATACAGCCTGGCTGTCATTCAGTATTAGGACAGGGAACTTCCCAATTCTGACCTTGTCCCCACACAGCGAACCCCACCAGTTCCCTAGGTAGACCAGTTGTCATCAGCTTGATCCCACAGGCAGCCCCTGCCCCCCACCCCTGTGCGGTGCCAGCTCTGACACAAACAATTGTGGCTTCTTGGCTGGGGGAGTGGAAGGACAAGCCCTGAGGGGGGACAGGAAGCTGGGAGGAGCCAGCTGAGAGAGCACCCCGAGTTCCTTTTCGTCTATCATGGGGCTTGAACTTGGCCTGGGCGCTGTCCCTCAGCTCTTCAGCTCAAGGCGAGCGCTCTACCACTCGAACCACAGCGCCACTTCTGGTTTTCTGGTGGTTCATTGGAGATAAGAGTCTCACTGGCTTTCCTTACCCAGATCTGTGATCCTCAGATCTCAGCCTCCTGAGTAGCTAGGATGACAGGTGTGGGCCACCAGCGCCTGGCCACCACAAGTTCTTTTGGAGAAGACTAAAGGCCCGGAGGCTAGCAGAGGGCTGAAAATCTATTAGAGCTCTGCCCTTCCCCAACGCAATTCACCTGCGACCTCTCCCTTCCAGAAGCTTCAAGAGACAAGGCCTCAAAATGGAAGGCTTTTAATACAAAGAGAGGGGCAGGGTCTGGACAGGATTTAAATAAGGAGGTGCAGGGTGTCAGGAGCCGGCGGCTGGGTGCACTGAGGTCCTGCGGAGGGGGATGATGCACACTGAATTCCGGGCTTCTTTGAGTCGCCACCATCGGCCAAGCCTGCAGGAGAAAGGGATAGCTGAGCCAGGCGGCAGCAGCTCAGGCCTGTCATCCTAGCTACTTGGGAGGCTGAGATCTGAGGATCATGGTTTGAGGCCAGCCTGGGCAGGAAAAGTTTCTGAGCCTATTTTTTTTTTTGCCAGTCCTAGGGCTTGAACTCAGGGCCGGTGTACTGTCCCTAAGCTGCTTTTTGCTCCAGGCTAGCCCTCTACCACTTGAGCCACAGCACCACTTCCGGCTTTTTTTCTGTGTCAAACCCAGGGCTTCATGCATGCTGGGTGAGCACTCTTACCACTGAGCTACCCTCCCAGCCTGGTTTGGGAGACTCTTATCCCAATAAATAACCGAAGAGCCAAAAGTGGCGCTGTGGCTCAAGCGGTAGAGTGCTAGCTTTGATCAAAAAGCAGATCAGGGACAGTGCCCAGGCCCTGAGTTCAAGCCCCAGGATTGTCCTATACTCCTACCCAATGCCAACAATCTCTTCTCTTCCTATTCCACGGGCTGCCCAGCCTTGCCCTCTGACCCAGGGTCAAGGGCAGAGAAGGAAGGAGGGAAAAATCACAAACCTGTGTTCCTGGCCCACGCCGGCCACCAAAAAGTCCCCAGTGCTGGAAAACTTGAGGCTGTTGATAAAGCCCACCTATGGGGGAAAAATAAAAAAGGATGGGGTGAGATATCCCAACACCCCAATCCACCAGTGTCCCCCAACATCTCCCACCTTCCAAGGTCTTGGGGGTCCAAAATCCCTGTCAGGGCTCCCAGGGCAGAGGGGGGAGAGGGGGGGCAGTGCCAAGAGATCAGATCAAGGCCCGCTCACCAATGGGATGTCACACACGTGGTCCAATCGCCGGAAGCCTTCCCCGCACTGCCAAAGACGTACACGGGAGTCATGGGAGCCTGTAGCTACGAGGTCTGTGTTGAGCAGCGCAGTCACTGAAGACACCCAGTAGGGCTGCTCCAGCCCAGGCTCACCCCGTATCCCGTGAGCTTCCCGCTGCAGGGCGAGCGGCCGCTTCTTGGAGAGACCCCACAGGGCCACAGAGCTGGGGGTAGGAGGGCGGTCAGTGGGTGGCGGAGGAGGGACAGGACAGAAAGAGAGGCACGGAGCAAGAGAGATCAAACTACCCCTGCTCCCACAGTGGGGAAATGACACAAAGCAAGTTCAGGACTGACCCAAGTGGTCAGACATCCAAGAGCCAGTTTGGTTGTGTTTTTGTTTTTGTCGGTCGTAGGGCTTGAACTCTGGGCCTGGGCGCTGTCCCTGAGCTCTTCAGCTCAAAGCAAGCGCTCGACCACTTGAGCCACAGCGCCACTTCCAGTTTTCTTGTGGTTTATTGGAGATCAGAGTCTCACAGACTTTCCTGCCTGGGCTGGCTTTGAACCACGATCCTCAGATCTCAGCCTCCCGAGTAGCTAGGATGACAGGTGTGAGCGGCGGGTGCCCTACCCAAAAGCCAGCCCTTACCCATCATCAGCGCCCGACACCATATGCTCCTCGTTGATCAGGTGGACACAGTCAATGGAGCCCCTGGGGAAGAGAGGCCGTTGAGGGGGGCGTGGCCCAGCCCTGCACCCCCAAGAACCCATCTGGTGCGGCAGGCCACCTTACTGGTGGCCATAAAAGACGAGTTGCGACTCTTCGGGGATCTTCCACACGCGCACGGTCCCATCCCGGCCCCCGGCGGTCACGCAGCATTCCCGGCTCAAGGCGTCCAGTGCGGCCACGGCGTCCTGGTGCCCGAAGCTGGGGAGCAGGGAGGGCAGAGGAGGAGAGGTCATGCTGCTGAGACCCAGCCCCGCCCAGCCACGCTCCCTCTGCCCCCCCCCCTCCCGCCCCGGCCCTGCACGCACAGCGTCTCCACGTAGGAGTTCTCGGCCACATTCCACACCTTCACCGAGCGGTCGTGGGACGTGCTGTAGAGCTGGTGGGTGCCCCTGCGGAACGCCAGACCCTGGGGGAGTGGGGAGACAGGAATGGCAGAAGGGGCCAGTGTGGCTCACGCCTGTCATCCTAGCTACTCAGGAGGCCGAGATCTGAGGATCGCGGTTCAAAGCCAGCCTAAGCGAGGCACCAGTGGTTCACGCCTGTCATCCTAGCTACTCAGGAGGCTGAGATCTGAGGATCGCGGTTCAAAGCCAGCCTGGGCAGGAAAGTCCATGAGACTCTGATCTCCAATGAACCACTCAGAAAACCAGACGTGGCACTGTGGCTCAAGTGGCAGAGCGCTCTCCCTGAGCTGAAGAGCTGAGGGACAGCGCCCAGGCCCAGAGTTCAAGAACCCACGACCGACAAGAACAACAACAAGTTACAAAAACGCTCAGAGAATGGGAAACGAAGTCTGTCCCCACTAAACACCCTCCAAGCAAGGCCCAGATCCTCACCGACACAGCGTCCCGGTGCCCTGTGAAGGTATACAGGTGACGACAGCTCTGGGCCTCCCAAATGAGGATGAGTTTGCTGCGGTCACCAGAAGCCTGTGGGGATCAGGACAAAATGGCCACAGGTACATAGCACCCCCCTCCCTCCCCACCTGGGCCACACACACACACACACACACGCCCAGTGCCAACCCAGCCTTACCAGGTACTTGCCATCGGAGGAGATGGCCATACACAGGACATGGGTGCTGTGCCCAGTTGGCTGTCCTTCTGTACCCTTCTTGGCTCGAGGTATCACGTGCAACTTCCGTCCACTCTCTACGCTCCCTAGCAACCCAGAGGAGAGACAGAGAGAGAGAGATGGGAAATCTGGGAGAGCAAGAAGGGATGGTGGGAAAAGTTCTATCCTTTTATCAAGGGATAAATGTAGAAATTGGATTATGGAAAATGCTCTACACTGGGCTGGGAAGGTGGCCTAGTGGTAGAGGGCTTGCCTAGCATGCCTGAAGCCCTGGGTTCGATTACCTCAGCGCCACTTAAAACAGAAAAAGCTGCAAGTGGGCACTGTGGCTCAAGTGGTAAAGTGCTAGCCTTGAACAAATAGAAAGCTTAGGAGTAGGGCACCGGTGGCTCATGCCTGTCATCCTAGCTACTCAGGAGGCTGAGATCTGAAGATCACAGTTCAAAGCCAGCCCAGGCAGGAAAGTTCATGAGACTCTGATCTCCAATGAACCACCAAAAAACCCATAAGTAGCACTTTGGCTCAAGTGGTAGAGCACACTCTCCACTCTTGAGGAGAAAAGGGAAAAAAAGAGATGGGGAAGGAAAGCAAAGGGGAAAAGTTAAAAAGAAAATGAAGCTGCTCCTATCATTCTAGTTACTCGGGAGGCTGAAATCTGAGGATCAAGGTTAGAAGCCAGCCTGGGCAGGAAAGTCCATGGGACTTGAACATGGGGCCTGGGTGCTGTTCCTGAGCTCTTCAGCTCAAGGAGAGTGCTCTACCACTTTGAGCCACAGTGCCATTTCTGGTTTTCTGGTGGATCATTGGAAATAAAGAGTTTTGTGGGGCCTTTTCTGCCCGGGCTGGCTTTGAACCATGATCCTCACATCTCAGCCTCCTGCGTAGCTAGGGTGACAGGCGTGAGCCAACACGGCTCTTTTGGTAGCAAATCTACCTCTACATGCTTCCCTTATCACAGTTCAGTATGTCAAGATGAGGCCCCCCTCTCCTCAGACCACCCCCCCCCTCCAGATACCCCACCCAAGCCGTCACTCACACTTAATGATGGTGCAGTCTTTGGCAGCAGAGAAGATGGCCGAGTCATCAGGGGTAACAACCAAACACGTAATGGAGAGCTGGTGGCCTCGTAGCACTCGAATGGCAGCAGGGTCTGGGGTCTGGATCTGAACAGGTATAAAGGATGGGTGGCTGAGGCTGGGAAGGTGGCTCAGTGGTAGAGTGCTTGCCTAGCATGCATGGAGCTCTGGGTTCGATTCCTCAGTGCCACATAACACAGAAAAAGCTGGAAGTGACACTGTGGCTCAAGTAGTACAGTGCTAACCTAGGCCCTGAGTTCAAGCCCCAGGACTGGTTAAAAAAAAAAAAAAAGGGGGCTACTGCATATGGCCCTTAAACCCTGTTAGGAGCTGGTGGCTCACGCCTGTTATCCTAGCTACTCAGGAGGCTGAGATCTGAGGATCCAGATTTCAAGCCAGCCTAGGCCAGGGAAGTCCGTGAGACTTATCTTCAAGGAACCCTCAAAAAGCCAGAAGTGAAGGTGTGGCTCAAGTGGTAGAGCACCAGCCCTGAGTGAATAAGGGATAGGGCCCTAGCCCTGAGTTCAAGTCCTAATGCTAGCCACGCTCCCTCTCCCCACGTGCAAAAACACACACATAAACAATGACCTTTAACTCCACCGTATCTGTTCATGCGTTTGCTGTATAGCAGAGCAAAGACCCCATAGCCCAGTGTCCCCTACCAAGCTCTTCCGCCTCTTACCTCCCGTGCAACGCACTTCTGCAGTCTTCCTCTCTGTTCAAGCTACATGGAGAGAGAAGAGGAGTTGAGGTCCAGGAGAGCGGGACCAAGCCCCTCTCCCAACCTTCCCCAACCTATCCTCCCTTCCGTCCCCCCAACACTTACCACATCCTCCTTCAGACGCCCGGCCACCTGGTCCTCTTCAAACTCCCGGGCCTCGGCCTTCTCCTCCTCTGTGCAAATACACACCGGTCTATGTAATCCAAGGCTTGGGGGGGGGGGGGTCCCTTGCCTTTCTTAACCCCACCCCAGGCTGGGTCTCAAATACATGGCTGTGGCATGCAGGAAGTTCAGGCTACTGTGGCAAATGGGAAGGATTTTCTTAACTAGGGCTTGAACTCAGGGTGTAGGCACTGTCCCTTAGCTTTGTTTTTGGAGATAAAAGAGGCTCACAGACTTGGAACCTCCATTCTCAGATCTCAGCCTCCTGAGTAGCTAGGATGACAGGTCTGAGCCACCAGCCTCCAGCTTCCCTTAGCCTTTTTGTTCAAGTCTAGCACTATCCGAACTTGAGCCTTTTGCTGGTTTAATGGCAAATAAAGAGTCTCTTTATGGAATGGGCGGGTTTCAAACCAGGATCCTCAGTTCTCAGGACTCACCTTGCTGCCTGAGCTGTTCAAGGTAGAGTTTGGCCAAGCGCAGCTTCTTCTCCTGTGCGGTCTCTTCCAGCTCCTCCTCCTCCTCCACCTCCTCTGTCCTCTTCGGAGCCAGGCTTTAGGCAGGGAGGGAGGGGGGAGTTTAAGGGGCTCATCCAGCAATTCTCACCACTAGGATTACAGGTGGGAGTTACTGGAGCCCAGCAACACATTTCCTCTTAATGTGCCTGTTCATCTCTGTTCCCAATAGTAAAGCCAGTGCCTGGCATGGGAAAGGGCAGAAAGGATGCAATGGACAATGTCACATTCCCATATTTTCACCTATTTAGGAAGCTGATGTGGGAAGATGACTTCATCCAGGTCTCCAGGCCATTCAGGATAACAAAGCTGAGACCCTGTCTCAACAACCCAAGAATCGCTAGACATGGTGGTTGCTACCTATCATCCCAGCCTGGGGGAAGCTAAGACAGGAAGATCATGAATGTAAAGGCAGCCTAGGCTACAGAACAAGACCCTGTCTAAAAAAAAAAAAAGACACACACACACACAAACCTAGGAATTGTGCCAATTCAGGAAAACAACAAAAGGCTTGTGAAGGTGGCTTAGTGGTAGAGTGCTTGCGTAGTACCACATACACAGAAAAAGCCAGAAGTGGCTCTGGGGCTCAAGTCGTCCAGTGCCAGCCCTGAGCCAAAGAAGCTCAGGGACTGCGCCCCCAGGTCCTGAGTTCAAGTCCCGGGACTGGATGTATGTGTAGGAAGGGGAGATTTAAAAAAAATAACAAGAGCCACACTCTGGACACTATAAAGGCCAGAGAGGATCCCACACTCTGCCCAGCTCTGTCCGGCCTCACCATTTCACCATCCTGGGCCTCAGTTTCCCCTGGCACCAGGTGACAAACAGCAGCAGCTCACCTCTCGGTCTCGGAGTCGCTTGAGATCTCTTCATTCATCCTGCCGCCACCCTTGGCCTTGGCTTTGCCCCTGTCCCCAGCAGACTCGGCCTGGGAAATTACATGCGTCCCTGTCGTGGGCCACCCCGGAATCGACCCAGAGACCCCCCCCCCAAAGCCGTGACTGCTCATGACTGTGATCCCCAAGATCACAGTTCCAAGATCGGGCCCGGGGCCAAGTGAGGCCAACAGGAGGAGGCCCCGACCCCAAGACCAGCAGCCTGCCCCGGGAAACGCGATCCAAGATCCACACCAGCCCTGGAAGAGCACCGGATGCTCACCTTTCTCCGCCGTTTGCCGGCCCCCGCAGCGGCCCCCACCCCCGAGCCCGACCTTCCCCGCTTCCGAGCTGCAGCCGCCGCAGACATGATGCGCCCAGCCTCAGCGCGCCGCCGCCACTGCCAGAGCACTCACGCGGCCGCTGCGCCTCCGGCCGCATGGCAAGACCCCGCGCCCTCATTGGCTCCCACGCTCCATCGGGTCCCGCCTCCCCCATCTCCATTGGGTCTTCCAACCGAGTCGGCCACACCCCCGAGCTCTCATAGGACAGAAGCGTGAGGCCACGCCCGCCGACGTTCTGATAGGCTCCCTGGAAAGCCTCTCCCCAAGCGCTTCCGTCTGGAGCCCCGAGGCGCATGCGTCTTGCGTCTGCCTGACTTGGCAGCCTGGATCCAGACTCTCTTCTCTTGTGCTTGCGCCCTGCGGCCGCTGGGAGGCCGCAGAGATGCGGGTTTCCAAGTTTCCAAGTGTTGTAGGGCGGGGACCAGGGAAAAGGGGGGGACGGGATGGGGGGGCAGGGAGATGGGGGGGGGGAATGAAGATCCAGGGAATGAGGCCGACCCAGAATCCCTACCTGAAGGCCAAGGTCATTGGGCAAATGATTGCTACGCCGTGGACTGACCAGCAACATCAGGAGGGGCCCTGGGCCTTGGAGATGTCCACTGTGTGTCCCTCCATCTGTGGACCAGGCCACCAACTTGGGCCTGGCTGCCTGGGCCTCTTGGCTCACCCCACTAGTGGCCAAACAGCTGGAATTCTACACCCTGGTCATTGTCCCTCTCCTTCTCCTGCTCCTCCTCCTCCTCCTGGTCCTCCTTCTCCCCATTCTGAGGAACTCCCTCTTTGAGCCCAGCCTCAAAAAGTTGGGTGGGAAGTTGCTAGAGAAGGATTTCAGACCCTTTGGGAGGTGCACACAGCAGTTCCCCTTCCTCCCCCCCCCCCCAGTGAGTTGTTCTGTGAGATTGTCCATAGCCATTCTGCAGGACCAAGCCAACACACTGGAACCTTGCCCGGCACCCCAGATCTCTTAAGTAGGTTAGGAAAAGGCGATCTGACCCAGAAGTAATGCCTATCTTCCCCCCCCCCCATGGCTGGTATGACTCAGCCCAGCAACCAAGCCAGGTCCCCAAGCTTCCCTGACAAAGGAGGGAGAGTCTGGCTGGAACAGGGAGGAGGAGGTGCCTAGAGGAGATTCTCCTTTCACTTTCCCTCTCACTCCAGGGCACCCTGGAAATCTGGAGGAGGAGAAGGGAGACAGCCTCTTTTTTCTTGATTGAATGGGAAGACTGGATGGGTCCTGACCTGATGCTTCTGACTTGGAGAAAGGCGTAGATCTGGGGCACAGAGAGCTGGAAAAGGGGTTGATCTAGGTAGCAGGAAGTAGAGGTAACTCTTCCCCATATACACATCTGCCACCCCCAAAAAAAGGGCAAGGCTGGGGTGGGTCGAGTTGGTGGTAGCTTCATGAAGAGGCCCCTCTCCCCCATCCCCTCATCACCCCCAATCTAAGGGAAAGCCATGGCTCCAAAACAGAAGTCCACAGTGCAGCAGCAGCAGCAGCAGCAGAAGGAAAAGAAGAAGAAGAAGAAGAAGAAGAAG